CTCACCCCAGCATCTCTCCCCAGTAACGACTGGGATGCGGGAGTCTCTCGCCTCATTTAAGAGCACAACAAAACTTATCTCCAGTTTCCCTGTGAAAATGAGGTATCGCAGCTTTTTACTAAACTTTTGTTAAGCATTGAAGTTAAACTTTCAAGTCTAATTTACAAGTTTCCACTGCAGGACACATGCTCTAAACATCACCTGAGTTAAGCCCATTACAAAATAAAACAAAAGAAAACCCCATAAACAAACAGAAAAACCCCAACCAACTCAAAAAGCTCCAACAAATGGTAACCTAAACTGAAATGTGCTGGATTAAAAGCAACAATCCAAATCAGCATGAAACCACAAATAAAAACCAACAGACTGTGCCAAAGACCTCGGGGGGATAAAAAGGTTTATAAGTCTCCTTTACAAGAGGGGCTTTTTCCACACTCATAAGGCAGCCCCCAGAGACACCACGGCAAAGTTATGAAAACAGTCCCCCCCACACGAACCCCAAGATTCGCCAGCTCCAATCCTCAAGTCCGCAGAGCTCAGAAATGAACCTAAATCTAATCTATTCAGTTAAAAGTAAAATTTCAGACTTAATCCTGCCTCGACAGGCAGCCAACTAAATTTTCCAGCAGGCAAAGTGTTCCTCTCACAGGAAAGTCCTCTTGAAAGACCCATGTCCAGAGCAGGAGACTCCCTCTTTTGGGCCAACCTCTGAATTTGGATCCCACAACACAGGGATCTACTCCGTAGCCCAGGGATCTTCCTTCTTTCCCCCCATTTAAGTCTAGTCCTGGCTTTCTGGGCAAACTGTGAACCAGCCCAGTGGCCAGGAGGGCATCACCAGGGAAAGGGCAGTGACTGCAGCTGCAGCCAGAACCCAAGTGACAAAGAGCCACACTTTGGGGGGGAGCCACAAAGCCGCCCCCACACCCCTGCACCTCTCAAACAGGGACAGGAGAACGCTCAGAAATCTTAGGGCTAACTAACAAGGATTTTGCTGATTACTGACATTCAGGTTTTAAGTAAGCAGATAAGTTACTTTTTCCATCCCTGACAGAGTCTTGGACTAATGCCTTAACCTCAGGGGCATCAAAAGAAAACAACAACGATGATGGCAAAAAGCAAAAAGAAGCAAATAAAAAGAATCAAATCAAGAGCAAAACAGCCCCAACAAGCAAATGAATTACCATTGTCACTGACCAAGTTACACAGAATGACCATGTGTCTTGACACGCAATGGAGGAGATGGGGTAAAAAACCATAATAACTCTGCTGTGCTTTTTGGTTTGTTTGAATATGGCCATATCACAACAGCTTTTTAAAAGTTTGCCTTTCCTTCTTTACCTGTGACCTGAACCTCAAACTCCACCATGGGCTGTACCTTTCAGACACCCTGTCCAAGAAAAGATGGGAAAAGAGGATGAGGAGCAGCTAATGTCCAGTCCCACTTCAGAGGCAGCATGGCTGGTGTGGAAACCACCATGGGGGTCGTGCTCTGCCTGATATGGGAAGCAATCAAGGAATATCCATCGTAAGGAATGACTCTCCTCAGTCACACTACATATGTCGTGCTGGACTTTGCAAATCTAAGATGTTTTGGTTTAGCAATAAAGATTTTAGTGCTGTTCTCCAGACCATTAGGTTTCTCCCTGTGGCTAAAGAGACCACTGCCAGCACAAAGGCCTTCCAGACCAGCCCCAGCCGTGGGCTTCAAAGTGGGGATGGAGAGAACATGTGAGTGGAGTGAGGAGGGAAGTTTGATGTGGACAGAGGGAACCCTGGAGTGACTGAGTTTCACCAGAACAGACTGGAATCCATCCAGGGCTCCCAACAAGATGAACTGTGTCTGCCCAGAACTGACAAGTACAATTATGGGGGAAGACCCCTGTTCACATCTGACAAATTACTTTGTGAACGCCTGGCATCTTGTGCCTCCAGAAAACTGAAGGGACTGAGACCTGTCCCGTTTCCCCAGATCTGAAAAAAAAAAAAACAAAGCTCGGGGGCAAAGGCTGGGGGTACAACGAAGAGGGGAGAGGGAAACGGGAGGCACAGTCACTCTCCAGAAGGGATGGGGTGGCACTGAGCATCCAGTGCCCCATTCCCAGCCCTGGGGAGATGCTGGGGAGATGCTGGGCAGAGCCGCAGACAGCACCGCTCCCCCCCGCATCCCGGCGGGAGGACTCTGCCCCCCCAGCCCCCGGAGCGCGGGGGATGCCCTCCGGTCCCTCCTGCCCTCCCCCTATTCCCGGGGGTCCTCCCTGCATCCCCCGCCCCCCCGCCGCGCTCGGAGCGACCCTGCGGCCCAGAGGGGCCCTCCCGCATCCCCCCCCCGCCGCTGATTGATGGCTGCCGGCGCGGGGGCGGCCGCGGCCCGGGGGGGGGAGGCGCCAGGGCGGCCGGCGCGACGCGGCCGCTCCCCCCCCGCCTCGCAGGAAAAC